ACGGCTCCAACAATGTTCTTTCTCCTTTTCATTTTTTAATCTCAACAGAGTCTTGTTGGCTAATAGATTTCTCATGGCCAACTAATATTATGGCAATAGCCTTATACAGAAAGAAGGGTAAGATTAAGATTAAGATTAACAGTTGGGAGAGCTAGCAGTCAGCCTGTCCGTCACTGCGACCCAGAGGATCTATTGTGACTCTCTCCATAGCTATAGAGCTTTATCCAGGTTCGTCTCTCTAATCAGACTCCACAACTTCGATAATGGCTCCCTCGTATAGCTCTCTGCCTCTGGTTTGGTATCGCCCAGCAGATGGAAACGCACACTCGCTAGGCCTTCGCAGTGGCACAGTACGTGTGCGGCTGTTTCTTCCTCTTCCTGACAGAATCTACATTCTGTGTTTTCTTCCACTTCCATCAGGCTTAGATGTCTCTTAAGGCTGCAGTGGCCCGTCAGCAGACCTACCATTATTCTTACAGCTTTCCTATTGTAGCTTAGTGGGTCTGCTGTAAAATTGGCCGATGGGTCCCTTAGGAATTCCTTGGCCTGTCTTTGCCCCGGCATGTCCCTCCACCATCGTCGGGATTCGCGGTCCATTCAATCCCTGATGGCTGTTTTTGCAACGGGTTTGGCCACCCCACTAAAGGGTTCTGGTCCAATCAGGCGCATTGACGACCCTTCGCGGGCTGCGTCGTCTGCGCCTTCATTACCTTTACGCCCTCCGTGCCCCGGTACCCATGATAGAGTAACTTTGTTCTGGCTTGCTCTCTCGTTTAATGCCTTATGGCAGTCCAGAACTAACTTGGATGTTATTTTATTAGATTGCATGGCCTTTATAGCGCTTGACTATCGGTGTAAATTGCAATTGATTTGTTACTGATCTTCCTCGCTTTTATTTCTCTTGCACAGTGTTCTAGTGCAGTGATCTCTGCTTGGAATACTGTTGCTAGCTTACCCATTGGAATAGAGATTTTCCTTTTCGTCCTGGGTTCGTATATTCCGGCTCTTACTCCTTCTTGAGTTTTTGAGCCATCAGCATACCAGGTTATTTCTGCCTTGATTGGTGGCCCGTTTCCCCAGTCTTCTCTGGCAGGGATTTGAGTCCTGTATTGGTTAACGGAGCAATACTTAGGTGTTGTGCTGGTTGGAGTTGGAGTTTAATTTTAACATTGGGAGGCACAAAATAAAAAATAAAATAGTTTCTCTTATTTTTATTGCATCTTATTTAACGTTTTCCTGGAAAAGGTGCATATTGCCCCATTTCATAAACTCCCTTTTGATGCGCCATTGGTTTTGAATATTTTCATTACGGGTTGCTCCTTGATCTGTTATTACTTGGTTCAAAATTTAAAATGGAAACTGTTTCGGACACCATCTTGCAATCGTATATTAGAGGGAAAACGTCGAAAACAATGAACCGGTGTCGGTTTCCGTAGGCATTACCCTCAATCCTTCGGCAATACGATCCTTTCCCCGGAACAATAACATTACAACGTTTAATTTTATTATGACCGGTAATTCAATTATCTGACGCCTTTTGTTTGAGTAGAAAACTGACACGATTAATTTAATGGCAAAGTAATTTCCGTCGCTAAATAAAGAGGTCAAATTGCTTGTCAATGAGGTGACAAATTGATACCCCACCTTTTGAAATGTTGCCCCTATTTCCAAATGTTGGTATTGATAGTTGTTTTTCGATTTTCACGATCTCAGAGGAACTGCTTCAGGTTAAACCCATTAGAGAGTAAATCGCAGGAATAGTTGTGAATCTGTTTACTTTGTGGGCTGAAAAAGGGACCACTTTGATCACATTTTTTAAAGAAAATTCCACTACTAACTGTACTACTACTTATGAAGCTTCTGGACTGGCTTCCTTCGAGCTTATGTTGTACTCTGTACCTGCTTATTTAATGTTTGAGTGGGCCTGGACCTTCTCTCGACCTGTCGACCTCTCTTGGATTTTTCTATGGTACAAGAATTGATTTCATGCAAGAATTTTAGTTTCATGGTTGTGTTCGGTAACTGCTGATGGGTTTATTTGTCGTAGTCTTAATGCTCTTTCATGTCCTTTGAGTCAAATGGATATTCATGGAATGTTGAAAACCCCTGGTCCCTTAAACGCAATTTCGTTTTTGATCGATCGAAGAGGTTGAGAGATTTGTATACAAGTGGTCATATTTCTCAAGAACTTTTTATATATGGTCAGTGATGTTTTGAACTTAATAAAGGCCCACAGTGGCAAGTGTGGAGTTGCTTTCGGATTCATTTTCTTTGGAAAGTTGCGGTGAAGTGTAATTTGTGATAGAACGTTTAATATCTCTAATGTGTAAATGATAAAATCTGATATTATGTAAGGTGTTTAAATTCTGGGTTCAGTGACCCAGATAGTTTTACGCCCCTGTAAACAAGAGGTTTGATAAGCGATTATTTTCAGTCTGCTTAAGTTTTTGGGTGTTTAGGTTTCTAGGAGGGATCCAATGTTAGGTCTGATTTTTTGTTAATATAAGAAGAATTGGAGGACATTATAGTTTCTAATTCCATGGCGCTATGTATGTTAGGGTGTGAAAAGCTAAAAATAACATCAACGTAGCATTTAAACAATTTTGTTTTTAGATGAAAGGTTCCGACAGCTTTCTTCTCAAAAGCTTCCCCAAATCGATTCGCTGACTTTTCATAAAATTTGTTCCAATGTGTTCCAAACAAGCAATTTTGAATTAAGATGAGAAGTTTTGGTTCCAGCTTCACAGATTTTAAAGTATCTGAAGTGATTCTAAGTCGAAACTAATTTTCTGATCTTGGTTCAATGAAGTAAAAGAATTGAGTACGAAACAATCAGTTTTGCCTGTAAAGGGTTTTAATATACAAATTAGATATTTCGCAAGATAATATTTTGGAAAACAAATGGTCCTCACAATAGTTCAAAACAGTAATCATAATTTGCGAATCTTAGGAAATTCGTAGAGACGAGGAATTATAGAGTCTTTTTCACGGATTCTAATAGAGAAGCAACCTTAATAACAGATTTGAGATTTCGTTCCATGGACGACGTAGGATTTTTTTAAGTTGTCAGTTGTGTTCATGGCTATCGTAGCTGCTTTTAAAATTGCGATATCGGTAATAGGTTTTAGAGATTTTTAAAGGATTTTTACGATTTCAAAACAAATTAGCTGGTCGAGAGGATTTCCTCTTTGCGATAATACTTGGGGTAAATTTTCAACTTTGTCACAAATCAATCACATTTGAAAGGGTACCGAACTCGAATGGGGATATAATGGAAGCAATTTCATGACGTCTATCTCTGGATTTGTAAACAGAGTTACACTAGCCTGTGGAAGTTTTAAGCAAGTACAGAGTAGAACGCAACCCGGTTTCAGTTAAGCTCTGAAGAAGCCAACAAGAGGGTTGGCGAAACGTCAGCAATTTCGAATTTATCAACAACCGACACAGGACGAATTCAAACGATTTTTAACTTTTTAGAACTTATATTAAGTAGTGTATTTCTTTTAGGTCAATTAAAAATTACCTAAATTGTTCTGTTTTAAATTAAATAGAGGTTTTTCTTGATAACCAGTCGTGACCAACTAACCAAACTAACTAATTTTTTTTCAAAACTTCAATATTAATAAAGTATTATCCTGATTTCTGAATAATGGTTAAAAAGTCAGCCGACTTTTTACTTTTCTGTCTTAAAAATCAAAGGAGCTATGAAAATTCTGTTTGGAGCATATTTTGTTTCTCGAAAAAGTATTATCCATCTATCTTTACTATTAAGTGAGATTTCGTGGAGAGGAGAGATTGGATCGAAGCTGATTTTTATGACCTGTTCAGGGCCTTTTATTGCATGCCTCACCCAATTTCACTCGATAAGCTTGGAATACGTAGTGTTGCCTATTCATGTTTTGGTGCCTATCTGCTTAATTGAAAACTAATCGTCTCTGTTATTCATATGAATTCACATCTACTCCCCATAATACCCCAAGGTTCGTCTTTAGGATCCCTTCTTCATGAGATATATGAATACCTATTTCGGTATATCTGGATGGATCGCACCCCAATGAACCAACACGAGTTTAATTAAAAATTTTCAAATTCTCGCTACTTTTAGTTTTGCCATAACAGATCAACAATTCAATCAACCGTCATATCTGACATAAAATGTTAAATGTCACGGAGACGGTGAAATATAGTTTAGAATATTATACAAAAAATATGTCTAAAATTTTCCAGGACATATAGGGCCACCGTTTATTTTATTTATATTTTTAATATTTATGTTTGTATATTTAATATATTAAATATCCAGTTCCGGTATTTCCGGACTTGCCAACTTCACATAAGTTTAATTCCAAATTTTCGCTACTTACATTTTTCTCATCGACGAATTTTCCGGCTAGACACCCTGTATAAGTAACATTCATTAAATTTTCCATAAATCATTAAATAAAGAATACCCCTGCAACTCAAATACGAAAAAAGCTGGGGAATTTCCATCTTTTCGTTTAATTAACAATCCGTTCTTACAGGGTGCATACATAATGAATAGGTCATACGGTAACCGTAGGTTCTAGACATCTAATTACACCACTCGAGCCAGAAATGCTTTAACAAAATGTTGCTCGTTTAAAGATTGATATTCAATTTATTGTTTATTGCATAATTTGAATTGAATTGAATTCTGAAGAGAATTATGTAAAAAATTAGATAAAAAGTTTTTTTTGGGTGTGAGAAATCTGATTTGGAACTTAGTTGTTAGGTTGCTTGTTGACGACGCTAGTTTTCATTATAAATTGTAAACTGAAGTAGGCTTCGACTCTGAAAGTCAAACACATTAAACCTACATGTCCCAGAAAGCATATGTCAATGTACGCTTTGTATATGGAACCAAGAAGGATGTAATAATTTTAAAGAAATAAAACCAGAACCATTTCAGTTACTGAACAAAATGTCCGTCATTCTCTTATTTAAATACAGTCTTAGTGCTTCGTTTCCTTTTATTTTGTTTGAATTTTATTATTACATAACGCATCTCTAAATTGTTCGATTTTGCCTTATTGCAAATAAAATAAATGTCTTCTAATAGATTTACCCTTATTTACCCAATCTATAAGGACAACCTTGAACAAGGTAACTTCTTTCTTTCGAATGTCATCTTCTTCTTGAATCTTATGTAGAACATCATAAGAAGATGCGATTTCTTCCTTATAAACAAAACCTTTCAAGCGAATCCAAAACTTTCATATGCAATGAGCAGGTGCATCAACATATTCTGCCTAGTTGCAAGTAAAATACCTTCTAATAGCTTTACCCTACTTATACAATTCTATCTATCTAATTTCACATAATTTGAACAGGGTACCTTCTGGCTTTCTAGTGTCACCACCTTCTTTTTTAATTTCCTGTAGAACATCCTCAACCGATGTCATTTCTTCCTTATTAACTAGTCCTTTCAAGCGAACCCAAAACTAGAAAGATCCAGATTCAAGTTTATCACCCCCAAAGGCCTCCTGGTTCAAATTTTGATGTCATTTTCTTCAAATCATGGAACAAACAGAAAGTTCAAAATTAAACTCCAATACCCTGTATCTTTGAAACCAGCAACATTGTGTCTAGAGTCTGCGGTTGCTCTATGACCCATTCATTATGGACCACCCTGTATACTCTTGTGTCTGTGCGACCGGCCGATGCACGTTTGGCCTCTATTTCCGTCGTAACCTTCGGGATAATTATCAATTCTCGAACGTGTTCTCGCGAAAGTGCAACCACGGTGGCTTATTGAAAGAAACCGGTGTCTAAAAATACTCTCAAACATCCAGGTCTGCCTGAGTAAATATTTAAAAAATGAATAAACAAGAGTGAAACGACTCCCGTCGAAAGCAACGCGACTATGTAAAACTCGAGGCTATAATGAACGAAGACGTCGCGACTCCAAATGATTCGAACCTACCCCCGAAGAAGTCATCGAGGAAGCGGAAGACTGTCGTTAAACTTCCGACACCCCCGCCAGATCCTACGACAGAAGCGGGTACCTCCAGCAACCCTGCAACGCAGGATAGGGACAAGGACAACGAGGTGTTGGACTACATAGACCTGCTGCACAAGAGTATATATTCGAGATCTACGTCCACGTTCGCACCGGCCATCATCACCGAGGAGGCTTTCGATCATTTGGAGAAGCTCTACAAACTGATGGAACAGATGTTGGACCTGAGGGAGCAGAACGTCAAGCTCCATCGAAGGTAACTAGTTTTTCCTTAATGGGTATTCAAATCCGTAATAATGTTGCCCTCTGCATGTTTTTCATGCCATTGTTTACTACTCTTCACTATTCTATCAAGTTCTTGGAGCTTTTCGTCGTTGCATGTCGTTCTCCTGATGGTCGTAATTGGTGTGATTTACCAGGAAAACCGTATTTCTCATCTAGATAGAGCTAAATCGACCTATAGGTCAAGGGCTCAATTTTTGAGAAACATCTTGCTGATAATAAATACTCCTTCTACATTAATGGCAATTCCTGCTTCATCACTCCAAACAATAGACAATGGAAAATTAATGCTCTCATTGCATTTTCCGATAAACCATCTGCAAAATTATATTCTTCTACCGGCATCTCCTTTATGTAATTGGTGGATTTTTCTGGTACCATATGGCTTGGATTTATGTTTTCTTTTAAAATAGTCAAAACTTTAGTTTTTCCAGCACTTGTTGTGTCAGCTACTCCTGTCAGCTATTATATTTAATTCCCAGGTTTCCTGTTCTTCATTTAACTGGTTTTGAGTTTGCCTTTAATTTTTGAAACTTAAATTTTTATTTTTTAACTTCCGAAATATTCGCTTGGTTGATGCAGCTTTGGATATAACAATAAGAGGCTTTATTGCAAGGACTGCAAAAGATGAAGTTGAAGCTCACCATCCTAACTTAACAAAAATACTGCCTTCAGGTAACCACCAAACAGGTTGTCGCTAACCAAAAGCGGCCAATACAGTAACCATAGAATATTAATTAATATTAACTTATTTAATCAATAATTTCTTCAGAATACGTGACCTGGAACACCTGAACAACCTCGGCAAATTCCACTCAAACCTGGACCGCATCAACATCGACGAAGTCTATCCAGACCTGGACAAGGACGCAGCTTTCGCCGAAACCATCCTTGAATCCATTTTGCAAGACACCGCGGCCAAAAATAAGGAACTCCAGAAGCAGTGCAAGAACCTCAGGCCGTCTATACTAAGAAGACACCGCAGTGGATCAGGCACCGAAAAACAAGTGACGCTCGACGGCGTGCAGAGCCTCGAGCGAGACGACAGAGACAAGAAGGAGATGGTGAAATGCGACAAGCCTGCCAAAATCTCTAAATGGACCAAAGTGAAGGCCGCTTTCAGGTGCGTTTTCCATAATTCAATCCCGACCTTTTGTAACAAACACGCTTCTTTTAAAACATCTAGGTTTTCTAGTTTCCATGCGCCTTGGTTCACGAATAATATCAAATTCATTAGTAAAATTCGACCTCTTACACACAGTTGCGAAATTCTGTTGAATCTGCCACTCGCAACGAAAAGAAGGCTTATTTAAATTACAAGTTTAAAAGGGATTCGTCTGGATTCGATTCAACGATATTACTCTTATTACTCTAATTCTAAGACAGCTTGTGATCCAGGGCTAGCGGGTACTTGCATGTTGCACAACCAATGGTACTGGCAATAGGTCGAAGAGGTGGTTTGTAAATCTTAGAGAATCCATGGCGATGAGGAACTTTATTGTCATGAGGAGTGACAAACTTTTTCACGGATTCTGATAGAGAACAAGCCTTAATAACAGTTTTATAGGATCTTTTTTAAATTGACCATCATAATCACGATTGATTATCATGGTAGCATTTCCTTGATCTTTTTTGAGAATTACGATATCGGGATTAGATTTTAGATATTTTAGAGTAATGCTGAGTAAGCTTTAAATTATTGGATTTAGGTTTGGATTTTTTAAGGATTTTTGAGGTTTTAAATTGAATTTCATTATACGCAGGGCATGGACGAATTCGAAATATTTTGAAAGAACTGATTTTTGACCTCAGAAAGATGGTCCGTTGCCACAGCTTTTGGTAGTTGAGAAGGTAGTTGGACGAGGACAAAATGGACGCAATTTCAAGATGTAGAGACAGAAGAGTCCTATGGATTTGAATATTTAGTGATGGAAGGTGGTGTGCCCTAGGGTAGCATTATTCGACTACTTCTCTCCACATCATATATTACGGACCTGGGTAATTGTCTAAATAAGCTGGATCACATGATGTACCTACAACTGATGACCCAAATCGTGTTCAAATATTCTTATTGAAGTACCGGCTGATTATAAATACAAATAAAACTTAGCTTATGATATTTGGCAAAGATCTTAACAACGTCAGATTAAGACTGTGTGACTTACTCATCCTGTCATCTCTGGATGACTGTACCATAGTGTGCCATGTGCCTTTCATAATAAAGAAATAGAAGATCTTCAGGAACTTCAAAATTCTTGTTTAGAATGAAGATATGTAGAATACATATTTAATGCTCAATATATTTAAATAGTTTGAAGATTACAGATTAATTAGTATCATGAGCCACCTGCTAAAGACTTTCTTACCCGGATAAGAGCTAAATGTGAGCTCGAATTTGATCAGACGCAATTTGGTTTCAAGCACGGATTTGGGATTAGGGAAGCCCTGTTGCCGAGACAAGTGCAAGGACGTATTTGCTTGCTTCATTGATTATCAAAAGGCATTCGATAGCGTACAGCATACGAAACTCATTCAAGCCCTACAAAGAGCAGGAGTCGACCAAAAAGACCTCCAAATCATTAGAAACTTATGTTGGAACCAGACGGAAAATGTAAACATTGACCATAAATTGAGCGATGGTATAAGGATATGCCGGGGTGTACGCCAGGGCTGTATTCTCTTCCCCTTCCATTTAACTTGTATTTAGACATTATTTTTAAAATAGCACTAGAGAGGAGGGATGTACGCATCAAGGTAAATGGGGTACCAATAAATAAATTGAGATGTGCAGACGACACTGTTATTCAGGTAAAAAGCATAGACGGCCTCCGATTTCTAGATAGTGTGACCACCATCAGCAAAGAAATGGGATTGAAGACAAATAAAACAAAAACTAAATTTATAATATTTAGCCGCCCACCGAATGGAAATGCTCATCTGGCATCAAACGAAGTGCGCATAGAAAGAATCTCAATTTTCAAATATCTAGCGTCTCTGATTACAGATAACCTTGACCTGGATATAGGAATTAAAAACCGAATTGAGATTGCGCGTTCCAGTTTTTGCTCAATGAGGTCAGAGTCCTGCAATAATAGCTTGAATATGGCTCTTCGACGGCGAATGGTTAAATGGTCTATACTTCTATACGGAGTCAAGTCTTGGACACTGAAGATCAACACCTTAAACCGTCTGGAAGCATTTGAGCGTGGACCCTTCGGTGAATCTTAAAAATTTCGTGGACTGCATGACCAACGAGGAAGTTCTGAGAAGAGCAAAGACACAATGCGAGCTTGTCACAACTGTCAAGCGAAGGAAAGTAGCATATCTGGGGCACATAATGAGGGGCGAAAAATACCATCTTTTCAGAACGATTATGGAGAGAAAGATTGAAAGTAGACGAGGAGTCGGTAGCAAACAGATGTCCTGGCTACTTAACATACGCGACTCGACTGGATACCGGCCCACAGGAGTACTTTTTAAACCGGCAGAAGCCCAAGATGCTTTCTCCCAAGTGGTTGCCAAGATCAGATAACTGATAGGACACTGAAAGAAGACAAAGATATGAAATTAAGAAGTCAATATTTGTTTTCGTTTTTCGTGTTTAAATGTTCAAACCTTCACACAAAAAATACTGGTTATGAAGGGAATATTATGTGTAGGCGTGAAATAATCAACATTGGATTGGACGAAACCACCAAATCGAAAAAGTTTTTGAACCAAAATAAATACGTTATTATCATTATTATACCTAAAGGAAACTCAAAATGTTTGCAACAATATTGAGAACTGGAACTAGTTCGAATATCTAATAGCAGAACGAGGAACTAGAACTAATGGCATATGTAATTGAAGAATCTTTCTTTTACAGGAGGTCTCAATGTTGTATTCATCTATCTCTTAATAGTACGCAGCGACTTAGGACATCGGTTCTTTTCTAAAAAAAACTAACGCTAATAATAGTAGATTGTAGGTAGTGTGGGTATTTACCAACAATGCTGTAACATTTAATACACTATATATTTGTATTTGTATATATATTTGTAATATTTTGCTCGAATATTTCATCTAATAGGTGATCATATAGGTGATGGCTAGATAGAACATTCTGCTAGATATTATTATCTATTATTTTGTAGTAATAATGTATTATAAAATTTAAATAAAGTCATTATTTATGTATTTATTTATTTAATTTAGGTGGGAGAAAGCGTCTACCAGTGTCGGAGGCGAGTCCAAGTCACAGGACAGCGGCATTCACGTGCCGGTCAATTACGAGATAGCTCGCTACTTAAGGGTACCTTCTACCAGCGATGACGCGGCTCATAGCCCGGGTGACTCGGGGGCGGGGATTTCCACCCCGGGGTCCATATCTTCAGCTTCGTCGAACGACGATTTTCACAGACCAGGTAAGCAACTTCTCGTGATTCTGATGAAAGAAACAGAAGCTAACCAAAACTAAAGTTTTTAATAACAATTTATTTCTATTGTTTCGGATTTTTGTCTTTGAGGAGCCCATTGTTTTTCGATGGTAAAATGAGTGTTTTTTCACGCCGAACTTCAATGTAAATATAAAAATTTGTACTGGTCATAGCGATTTCCAATGATATTTTTGTTAAATATCTCGCATATCCTGTTTGGTAAATCGTAAAATTGTGACTCTCAACGCAGTTTAAGATACTGCTTAGCTTAAATTATCCCATCTTTTATAGATTTTTCATTTAAAGCAATCTTTTTCACGAATTTTGATTTACCGGTAATAATTTACCACCGAAACGAACGATTTTCAGGTCTTTTAGATTTTTATTCATAATTGAAAAACCCTGTATATAATCGAAAAGATACTGAAAATAAAAGTTATAGTCCAGTTATATTTCCAGAAAAAATTTTTTTTGTTGAGGCAAAAATAATCCGAAAAGCCTATTCGAATTTTAAAAAAAAATTTCAAACTTCCAAAGTTTTAATGCGGGTGTATGCTTCTATTTCCATGTCAAACTGAACTCGGTAGCTCCTAACTTGAGGCACCTATTATATGTTTTGAACAACATGTAAAAACTTGAAATACACAAGTTTTAGCTGTCTATACGGGCTATATATTCGTGCAAAAACATCTGACAGCTGATACTTAGTTATCTAGTCATGACCAAATTTTCATTAAAAGAAAAATCCAATTTTCATATTTTTGCAAATTATCGACGTACCCCGTACATTATTAAAAAATCATGAAGAATAAACATTTTTGTTCCGGATCTCAAGAATTCTTTTCATCGTAGTAACAGTTTTCAAGAAATAATTGTTTTCTTCTTAAGACTATGCGGCATGAGTTTTGACTTATTAATTGCTTTGGTTAGTTTTGGTTACTCAATTTTTTAGATTTAGATGCCGCATTGCATAAATAATTGGTTTCATGTAGAAGTGTATATGTAAAATCTGGAGATCCTCAGAGTGCGACTTGGTTCAAGTGGTATTGATGAGCATGTACTTAAAAAGTCTTGCAAACAGAGTAACTACTGCAAGTACAGCTCTTGGATAACAAATCGTATAAAACTATTCCAAAAACTAAGAGACAAAGCAATAAAATAATTTAAACAATCCAAGCTCTCCTTACAATACAATTATTTCTTAGGAAGTACACAAATATGGCTGCAAAGAAAGATCAACTCGAATTCCGTATCTAAACTGTGAGGGTAAATCTCACTCCTTGAAGAGGGAGCAATCAAGGAATATTTGAGAACAAAATCAATCAATGTTTTTGCGTTTTTTTTTATAAATACCTTTTGGGAAAATCAAATTTATAATTATAATTATAAATTTTGTATAATAGTAATTATAATTACTATTATAATTTACCTTTAAGGGGACTTTATGTATTTTTAGTGTAATTTGATGTCATTCGGTTTTTACTTATTATAAACAAATGTACTGGTATTGTTAATGTCAAATATTTAAGAACGATATTAAACTATTTGGATGACAATACTTATTCGGAATATGGAAACTAAACTTAAACACGTTGGGACCTAAGAATGAAGTCCATTCCAAAATATATAAAAATGAAACGTTTTCGTTTGAAAAAGAATTTTCTCGCCATTTTATTTTAACTGTAATTTTCATTATTTGATTAACTTACGAAAATTGTAAAGCAACTTTTTTCAAACTACTCAATGTGATCAACAAACGTCACTCTTAACATAACACAAAAAGCATCACTTAACGAATCAATCTCTAGGACATTCGCTATCCACAAGGGAATAGTTTAGGTCCAATTGTGTTCGCGATTTTTATATCTACGTTTACATCATTACACTTTTGTGATTATGATCTTTATCCGATGACATTCAATTGTATTTTTCGTTTTTTGAGACAGGCATTAACGGAGCAATTCTGATTTGATTAGGTTTCACGATTTTATGACTCACCATATGCTCGTACTTAATCCTAATAAATCCTAGCTGAAGATATTTAGAAATCACAATTAAATTCATAATATTAAAAGAATCGTAAAATTGCATAGAAAGAACTGCAAAAGTTTAGGACTTACTCTAGATTTTCGGCAATATTCCAGACCAACTGTGGGAAACCTCTGGCAACTTATATGGTCCGCTTTGAATGAAAATGCAAAAATGTGCAAAAAAGATGATTTAATATCAACAGAACTTGTGTTCCAAGTCCATTCGCCTCCATAATGTTATAAATGTGGTAGTAATCCATCATTTTTAGTCGATAGATTTCAAAGCGTTTTTTGATGTCAGCAAAGTAAAAATGCTTAAACCGGTTTATGAGCTTAGAAATGAGATAATACAGGATAAAAGATAAACCACTGTATTCAGCCACGTACACTGGATATTTAACTATGTGAATGACTTAAATTGGAAACTTTGCAAACAAGGACTGTTAGTAAATGATTTGTACAGCCATTTGGAAGCATTTTAGAACAAATTCCGCTTGTGGCAGGCACAGATCACGAATCACGAAAGACTTCTCAATTGTTTCACAAAAGCTTCGATACTTGCAAATGGAGTTAATAGAGATTCAAGACAACTCATTCCTAAAATCTAAATTTGAAGACGTGGGGCGATTTCTACAAGATATGCCTGGAAGAAGACAATTTTCCGCGGCCTAGAGAATCCGCAAGAAGATTAATTTAATAAATTTTAAATTAAATTTAATTTAAGTTAATAAATCAAAACATCGTACAAAATTCAAGATAGTTTAAAAAATTCTTCACTTCTTTGTATCAGTGGAAGTAATTTTAACATCGATGGATTAGCCTCCCAAATTCAGGCTTAATAATTCCAAATTTCACGATTCATTTGTACTAGGACATTAAAATGTTGCCACAACATGTCAAAGGCTGATTAAAATGTTAAATATTAAACTTACTAAAATGGATAATACCACTTAGAAGGCAGTTTTCGTACTTCTAATCCATAAGCTACAATGTTAGTAAAACCCCGAAATGTTTATTCTAAAGTGGTACGACGAAATTAAGGTTAAAAATATGCTTTTGGCAATGAAATCAAAACTCTGGCCGTTATCGTTTCAATGACTGAAAACAAAAGAGTTAATATTGCGAAAGATCGAATTCTCCCAACAACGCACTAATATCGAATAAACGTTGGTGCCGGTGTATCGCGTTCCGCCATTTGTCGAATTAAAATGAGCGTGATCCGATTTAATTTTCCCGGATTTTATTCCCGCGAGATATTTATATTAATCGCTATAACTTCAAACGTTCTCTGCCGTTTCAGCTTTTTATTGCCGCAAGCTCTTAACACTTTTTTTCTATCCGCTTTCGTAAATATTTTTGCTCGTATACTCCATAAAGCGGCTTTCGATTATATTTGTAGGACTTTATTATGTTCTAAAACTTTTATGTTCCTAGGTTTTAGGCTATTTTCCTGTTTTACTTTAATAAGTGAAGCTCGAAGTTTGACTTTCTTTGACTTTCGTGAGAAAACGAGTGAGAGTGATGAAAACACGGGACCAAGGTGAAACTTTTACGTTACACTTATGCGTTATTAAACTCCAAAAGAGTTTCCTACCTGCCCGTTTATCGAATGAAATGGCAGGACAAGTGAGAGTGTGTTGCCAATGCGGCTTGGTATACCACAGGGTTCCGTTCTCGGACTTCTGTGTTCATCACTTACACAAACGATGCACGATGCAATCAAACTTAAGCCAGGCACCTAAGTGCTGTACACAAAAATTTTCTCTTAAAATTGCGGTTTTAAAAACAATAAAAAAGTCAAAAATCATGTAGAAACATAACTGACGCGTGTGATGGAACTTTTCCAGCACACGCGTCCAGCAAAAGAACAAAATTCAGTTGCTAAGCAGTGTGTGAATATTTTTCCAATGCCAATCGGTGTCTTTAACTTATTTTCCAATTGTATTTTCAGAACACGTTTACACAGCACAAAAAAAAATCCATGAATGTGTCCAAATTTCAGAATAATAATTTCAACTTTGTAAACTTCTAAATTTAATGAAATATTTTAGAAATTCAAAAAAAGTAGAAAATTGCCAAGAAATATTGCGGAAATAGCATCAAAAACACTGCAATTAAAGACTGCTTAGAAATTTGCGCAAATGCAAATGGAGAAAGCTAAAAGCTGATGATTTGAGGGAAAATTTCAAAATGAAAGTTCGAAATATGATTTGTGAATCATATAGATCACAAACTCTTCAAGTGTTTAATGACACTCTACAAAAACGTAATATTTTTGTTGATTTTGTATTTGTATTGGTATTCCATTATGATTTTTTGCAACATAATTTCCATAATTTTCTAACTGTCAAATTTTCATTTTCGTTTTATTCCTTGAAAATATGATTTGGACTAAATGCCAGCGATTCTAGTTAAGTTGCTAAAATAAATTAAATCATTGATTATTGTACGTAATAAGATAAAGATAAGATGTAATAGCTATGATTTAGTTTTTTTTTGTAGCTTTTTAACCACCTGCTCAAGTATACGCTTCATGAAAATATTGTTATGTGACTATCACAGCACTACGTAAAATAATAAAATTAATTTTAATTTCTATGTCTTCTGATTTGATTCCTATAATTGGTGACCTTCGGACTCGAATGACAATACTGGATTTGACTATATCCAATACCTCCCACATCGCAAATTTAAAACGAGAATCCATTGTATAGGGCTGATGGAAATCTAAAGAAATACACCTCCAATATTATTCTACAAAAATATATAACATTATTTATGTGGCACATCCAAAATTCACGGATTTATTTATTTTCAAACCGCTTGTGATATTATATAGGGTGTTTGATTGTTTTTGCATAATTCGTTCCTCTATCTGGTGGTTTTCGTAAAATTGATTGTTTTCTTTATTTTCCAACCAAAACATTTCCGTTAAAGGTTTATTACCACGATACTGGA